CATCTCTACCATGATGTAGCCTCTAGATATGCAGCATTGGGTCATGATGTGCTTGTGAGTTGGCACAGTCATCAAAATCTGTCACTGGAAGCAATTCCTACATCATAACAGCTACCAATAAATGGCTGCAAATTTACAAAAACATATGATCATGTGAAGAGACCATTGAGTCCAGGCTCAGAACTTATAAAACATGTGCATGTGGGAAGAGAGAGATTCTTGCATTGTAGTCTATTTACTATGACAGAAAAATGAGAAATTAAGACAAGAGTACAAAGAAATCTGGGGATAGTGATGCAGGCACTAGAAACACCAAGGAACTGACTGAAAATCTCTGAATATGTGAAAGGAAGAATGAATGACATTAAATATGTAGTCTGGTCATAAGAGAGCCAAATTAAGGACCAGAAAAAGTGACCTGGACAATGCAAGGAGGAGTGGAGAACTCATCTTGAGATTGTATGGCAGCTCTGGGGGAGCATAGTCATTAATTAGCAGGGTGAAGAGGTTAAGATGCCCTCATACGGAGCCACATTTTATTTTAGAATGATGACATAAAAATTTGGCATGCAACCTGCATTTTATTAAGCATGGGCTGGAATATCAAAGGACACACTGTAGGCCTTGATTTTTCAAAACCTACTTTAGTTAGGGTTCTTAACCACTTCAGCCTCCCTTCTAGCCTACCTACAGAGCAGAAGATGGTTAATAGGAAAACGGGAATGAGGACCTGTTTAGAAGTAGTTCTTTGAGATGATTTCAATCTTGATTGTCAGGGTATTAGGAGTCCAGTCCAAGACATCAAACACAAATCAGTAGCAGCAGTCCAGTCCAATCGGCAAACACCAAACACGAATCAGTAGCAGCAACTTGATCCAGAAGAAAGAGTGACACTTCAGTGAATTGACGCAAGTCTGCCAATGTGACAAGAAGCAGCTAGAATACCATGAGAAGTTCTTTGGTGCTTTTTTTGTCTATGAAATCACAAGAAGCAAAGAAAGATCTGTGAAGACCGGTGAAGCATTGCAAGGTGAACCAATGCAAGACCGTTGTTCACTGTCTGTTGGGTTATTCTTAAGCTCTTTCCTAACATCATGAGTCCTCTCATGTTTCTGCCTCAGCAACACATCCTCTCATAACACAGCATCTAGAAAAAACATCACAGGACACAGCTGAGTCTCCAAAGAAACCAGAAATTTTCTCTTCAACATGCATTATATCACAACCTTAATGTGGACCTATAATTTATTAGCTGTTGCTATATAGTGGAAAAAGACTTTTTTAGGCCTAAGCACATTCTTCTTAGTATACAAGTCCAACATTATATTGGCACTATATATTTACAAAGTACAGACCAATGTTACATTTACATAAATATGTTTCATTTAAAAGATATTCTAGATATTAGCAAGATATGGTTAGAACTGATAACTCTCCTATTGAAGGAATAGTGTAGGTTTCGGGTTAGGATTAGGGTTTGAGCTGTACCTTATTCCTTACTTTATGGAAGGACTTTATTGTAAAATGTGAAACAGCTAAAATATAAATAAACCAAGCTTTTATTATCAGTGGGTTCCTCATTCAACCACTGATTCAACTAGACAGAGAAAGTGGGATAAACTATTCTCTCTATACTGAACTTATATTGGGTTTTTTTTTTCATCTTTCCTAAACAATTCAGTATAAAGACTCTTTATATAGATTTTACTATTTGTGAATGTGTGTGTGTGTGTGTGTGTGTGTGTGTGTGTGTGTGTGTGGCCAGCTCATGCATGAGCTCATATAGTAATGTATTGGCTTATGTAGTGACGCTCAGAAGATGGTGTGGTATTCTCTAAAGCTGGAGTATGATATAGGGTATCATCAGCTACCAAGTACAGGTTCTAGGAGCCAGGTCCTCTTCGAGAAGAGCAAAGTGCTTCTAAACACTGACTTACTTCACAAACTTCTATATAAAATATTTTTGGGCACTCACTTGACAATAATATGAAAGGAGGAAAAGTAAAATACTAATAGAGGATTTGGTAAAATAGGATGTTTTAGGGTTGAAACATTGCTAATTACCTGGGAGCCTACTACACTGTAATGTCTGTTTTTATTTGCATTTTAAATTTTCCATAGTAAAAAGTCTTAAGAAATAACTTTTATCAAACAACGTTTTAGATGACGCCTACTTATTCAAAGTTTGTTTCAGTTACAGAGGTAATTTTAGTAAATTTGAAAAACGTGGTGGAATAAGGATTTGTGGTCATCTCTCTTCTTATTTCTGTCATAGAAGACAATTAGCGTATTAACTCCCTCAAACATTATGTGATAGATAAAATGATTGGTGAGTCATATTGGCGTTTGGATTTTGGCCATGAGAATAATGTGACTGTCACAGTCATTTAGGTTGTTATTAGTAGAAAGGAAATGGGAGGTGTATAAGTGTAATGGGAGGCTTCAAGTTGTAAGATGTTGTGTGACCTTTGCCATTGCTATGACAAAAGCAACATGAGGATGGAAAGAAGAGGCAATTTAGCTCACAGTTCAGAGGAATACAATTCATCATGGGTGGGAAAGCACAGCAGCGGGAGGTTGAAGTAGTTGGTCCGTCGTGTTACATTATTAGAAAGCAGAGAGTTCTAAGAATGCTAGTACTCAGTTTCTCTTCTCAACTCTGGGCCTGCAGGCCAGGAAATAGTATTGTTCACCAAGACCAAGACCAAGACCAAGGCCAAGATCAAGATGAACACCAAGACCAAGACCACTGGAGTTGGTCTCAGCTTAGTTAGATCTTCCTGAAGACACCGATGTAGACACACCCAGAGTTATGTTTCCTAGTTGATTCCAAATCTAGACTTATTGACAATGCTCTTAGTCCATTGCTCAAAATTCCCAGGATCTTAACAGCACCAATGTTGTTGAATAATTCAAAAGCCTAAAGTCGAATCTAAGACTCAAGACAGTCTTAATTATGAGCCCTTATAAAATCAAAACACAATTTACATATTTCCAACATAACAAAACAGCGTAATTTCCCATCCCAAGAAAGAGCAACTGTATCACAAGCAAAGATTGGGCTTCCAAGCAAAACCAGACTCAGTATGACAAACATGAACGCTCAGGGCTCCACATACCTGATCCCGCCATGTACTGTGTGGCACCAGGAACATTCTGGAACTTTGGTGAAGGACATAATGACGTCAGACTTATTACAGATTGAATTCCTGCCAAACCAGCAACACAAGATGATACTGTCAAGTTTTGCTACCCTCTTTATGCGTGGTCTATTGCCCTTCTACACAGCTGTAGTGACCACTCTGTGTGTAGGTGGCTCAAGAAGGCAAAAGAGTTGCCTTGGCAGTCTTTTTGTTTGCATGTAAGGAAACCCTTCGGGTGGCGAACTCAGACAAATGTTCTCCTTTTCAATTCAAATGAGTTCACAAGTTCACAAGTTGGAGCCTGGGGTTTGCTCTCCCCTTGCCTCCAGGATTCCTTTCCTATTAGAATGTAAGATTTCTCTTTAATGTATTTATCCATTCCTCCCCTACTAAAATCTATGGGTTCTCTTACACCCTTTCCCTCAGAAAACTGCATGTTTTTTATGTCTTTCTGAAAACTCTTTCACTGTGGCTCTAAAAGCAGTAAGAAGTAACCATGTCACAACCTGGATGCTATGTGATCTGAAAACTTCTTCTACTATATGATTTCTTCCGTTCTTGAATTTAGCCTCCTAAATTCTCAGAACAGCAGCAGAAAGCAGTGAGATTCTTTGTCGTAATAGAACAGAGCCCAGTTTTCAGTTGTTCTCCTCTGGAAACCTCATGGACTAAGGCTGCATTTCTCTCAAGCTTCGGACATTCCAAACTCTCTTTCAATTGGCCCATTAAACTCAGTTTCCAGTACAGTTTAGGCTTCTGCAGTCCACATCTCCAAATTCTTCCACAATTCCTTCCACAAATTAGGTGAGAAAGCCAAAGGACCATTTGGTCATGTTTGCCACGATGACACTTCCTTTTACTATCACTGTTTTGTATTAGGAACTTTTGTGGCTGTTTTTTTAGGCAGGGTTTATTGAGGCTCTCTGGGAATGCAGTCCCAATGCCGAATAAACTCACATTGTTATGTCAGTGTGAAGCGGCTGTTCACAGTCTCCTCAGTTAAGAAACAGAGATATACATGCCAGCTCTTGACACAACTTTTCATTTAGGCTGGGGCACCCGTGGATCATATCATATTCAAAGTGAGTCTTCCAGCATCAGTTAAAACTGTCTTGAAAAGTCCTTACACACCATGGTAATTTTTCTAGGCAATTCTATCTCCAGGCAAACTGACACAAAGATTAATCCTTGTGTAGTCTCCAGGTAGTGCTACCCAAGGACTGAGTAAGATGTTTATATACTTCTCAAACCATAGACACCATAGTGAATTTAATAGGCCAATGATTTTTCTCAAAACCACATATGAATATGGGCACTAAGAACATGTCTTCATTACCTCTTGTCCCTTACAAAGGTCTGATCTCTCTGTATTTCTTTTGTACATAACATATGCTAAGGACATGCTTATTTGACTAGATGGGAAAAGCCAGGAGATTTTTACACTTCTTGCTTTGGTGAATCTTATCCTTGTAAGTTTTAACCCCAAAACCAATGTTTTTAAGAACATCCCCTGCTTTATTCATTTCTTATGTGTGCCATAGGCATGTTAACTGGACACCAGTTTAGCATCTACTTACTTCAGTGTGACTGTACCTATTATAGTGGGTTTCATTTCTCTTCCTGACTTACATTATAAAACTCTTGAAAGTTTTTCATCATTTCACCTTGATCACCTTTGCCTAATGGTATAAAAAAATATTTCTTGAATTAAAATCATTTCTTATCCATCTGCATCTACATTACTATGAAATGCTTCTTGATGACAAGGGTCCACACAAAGATGAATTTTAGCTTAGTAAATGCTAATCCATGTTATTAATAATGTCAAAACCTTAAGGTATCAAATGAGAGGGCAGATTTATGATGGTGCATAAAATTCTTTATTTAGAACAATAAAGTATATGTTTATATAATGTAATTTCAAATTCAAACCTGTATCAAAAGGGTCAGGACATATACCTATTTTAAAAAGTACACATACAGTATATACACATACACATCACATTTTACAACCTTTTATTTAATTAAACTTCAGTCATAAACTATTTAGAATAGTGTTGACATACACTTACATTACAATATGCAAACTCCAATCTATGACTGAACTAGCAATATATCTGTGAAGCCATATAAATGTCGGGATGCTTTTCAAGTTCATTGACTTAAAAAAAACAGTGGTAGAGAGACACAATAATCACATATTAATGCCTAGACTACTGGAGGGTAAGACTATAGGAATTCCGATTGGAAAATTTTATTTAGTGAACTCTTTTAGCCTAGAAATTGAGTAAATGAAAATACCACAGTTTTTGTGTGTTTTAGACAATTTTCTTCTTCTAAAAACAGTCTTATAAGAAAATATTTGGAGATGGCAGTTGTGCATTTACAATGCTTACAAACATTCCAGGATCATAAATATTCACCTTACTATGAATCACTCCTAAACCCCCATCAGTTATAAAAGAGATACCGTCATTTTATCCTGACAAAGGCCTTTTAAGACTGTGTGGAGCGGCAGTAACAAGGGTTGTGTAATCAGACTCCATAAATAAATTTTGATCGGAATGGTTACATTTAAAGCCAATTTCACAATATCATTCCAAAGATAAACTGGCTTACTTTAAAATCCTTGTCCTACTTCTCCAATTTTAAATACAATTTATGGTTTATCATTTTTACAAATTGGCTTTAAAATATTTCTTGGCATCCAAGATCCTTAGTAGCACCCTACATTTCTTTCTGTTCTTGGCTATCAAGAAAAGGAGAACATTTACATTTACCCTCTGACACACTTCCAAATGTTATCGGCGTCTTGTACCTCTTCCTGGTGAAAATGCTCTCCTGGGTTTCATTCCTCAGAGGTGATCCCAAACATTCATTAAGTAAAAGTAAAAGCCATCTCTTGTGTAAATGGTTATTCCGATTCACTCTACTTAAGACTGAATTCACTTTTACTAATGGACCCTATTTACATTAGAAATTAAAACAGCAAAGACTTCTCATTGGCTAACCTATTGTTCAGAAGCCAGAGCTGGGTATTTCGCTTAGGATTCTTTTCGCTGTTTTCTTTGCTTTTTTAATTGTATGGCATAAGGGCTCACTCCTGAAGAGTGACCTCTGACCTATCTACACACAAACACAACACTGAGATCCAAAGAGAGTGGGGACATTATATCCATTTGTGGCAAAGCAGAACAACCTCCTGGCTATCTTTCTCAATGCTCACCCAACTACACCTAACTGCCTAATTTGAGAAACATATTTCTTCAACAACGTGTACAGGATAGCTAAGATTCCATATCAGAATTAAATCACGAAATCAAAACCTACTGTTAGAAACACAGTGGAAACAATCAAATATTCCACAACAGATTTTTTCCATTCATTTATAACTTCGACTGAATTAAGGTTCCAAGCTATGTGACACTGATTTTTTTTCAAAGCACATGAAAGTTCACTGAAGTGTGTTTAATTTTTTACTAAAAGCATATACTTCATTGTGGGTACATACTTTCATGTATTTCCATTTTTTCTCATATGCATTACTTTTTGTAATGCAATTTAGATTTTTTTATTATTATTATTATTGTATAGAAAGCTTCAATTCTCCAATTCATTAAAACATGGCAGTGTGGTAAGCATGTTAGATAACAATATGAAATCCAGAACTGTTCTAACACGACCCACCGATTACCCAGATAGTCTTGATATAGGCTTGGTTTCTACCAAGGAGGTACAAAGCTTTCAATACAATTTACACTCTGCAGATTTCTCAGATAATTTTCATTGAAAATCAAATCTTACACATTACAAAAGAGAACACTCAGAAAAAATGGGCAATGTAAAGGGCAATTTTATACTTTATCTTCTCGGTTTGAGGTTCTCATAATTTAAAAAAAATATTCAGAACATACATGGAATAGGCTATGCAAAGGATATGTATTTTTAATCTGAAAGCAGATATGCCACAGTTAATGTCCAAGCAGCTAGCATTCAAAATAATGTTCAGCATTTTCCTATTGCCCATGCATTTTATTGAACCTTAGTATTTTATAAAAATTGGCAATCTATGTTACTCTCAACGAACCAACGTGATTGACAAGCAGGACACATCTTCCACTTTCTACCATGTCAGGTATTATAATCTGTTAAATTTGTTGATTTAGCTCTACTGATTTTAAGACCGTGCTTTTGAGCATTAAAATCCCAACTGCTAGCTTTGAGGACAAATGTATATTTCTTGTACTCTCAAGCTCAGCGAATAGCATTTTCATAAGCCTGAGCAAAATGAAACTAGAAGATAAATAAATCAAGCCACAAAACTGAGAATTAACAATAGGCTCAGTCTATATACACCTATACCTATGACTCGTGTTAACCTACAGCTATTACTATTCTCGAAGCAGTCAATGCCAAGCAACAATATAGGTTCTTTCAGTAACTAAGCTGATTTCTAATTATTGATCACTAATCAGTTGTATCCTGGAATATCTGAGGGCTTGAACGAGTAAATACAGTATCTCAGTGCACTGGGCTTCATGTTGCAGGAATGATAGCATTGGAGGAAACTCGGAGCGTTAGAGAAAGAGCTATAGAGACCACTGAACTCTTTGGTACAAAGAAGAGCAGCCACCATGGACTGGAGTTGTAGTTGGACGAGCTTTGAAGGTAAGCTAGAACTTTTCATGCAGCTTCAAGACAGAATAGAAGCTAGCAGTTCGGTTTCCATGCGCTTTTGCATAATTACCTTGAAACTAATTGTCTTGAGGTTTTAGTACGGGGCAAAATAAAATTACTACAAGAATTGAGTTAGTATGAAAAGGTTTAAATTTTGTATGTCTATGGTAGGTGAAAAGAACCTTCACCAAAATAAAGGCAGAAGAAAAGTCATATTTCGATTTTAGCCAATTGCTTTCAATATATTTCCATCAGGGGCATCTACAGGACATCTTGTAAATGCTGGTTTGAGAGCACAATGTTCATCGTGGAATCGCTGCCAATTTCTGTCTAATATGAGAAATGCTGTCACACATTTTAAATAGCAAACTGACATGCACAACTACATAAAGCTCTCTCTTTTTTAATTTCATTTCATAAACCTTAATGAATACAGAGTGCCTGATTTTAAATAAATGGCTATGTTTAAAGAGATAATGGTTATACTGCAAATAGCTAATGTCTTCTGACTCCTTGTATTCTTGTGGAATACAAGTGACTTAGTTTGCAAACTCCCATATTAGAATAAAGTGTCCATTTCTGATCTTAGGTACTAAATACCATCATCCATTCTTACTCTCTCCCATCAGGATTAAAAAAAAAAATAGGACCCTTAAACATTCAGCATTTTCTCTCAAATCTGTTTTCATACCTCTGCAGTAGTTTTAAAACATAAACACATCACATTATAATTTTGCAAACATGATTTACACACTCTAGAGAGACTGTCAAGAGAAAAGACCGGCTTCACTAGGGGCCAAATGTCTTCCTTGGCGTGTTCTTCCGCTGGTCCATGTTGACAATTTTCTCCTGTAAGGACTCTTCTGGAGACTCTTCCATATACCGTGGCATCATACTGAAGTTCAGCATGGGCTCCACCGCACAGATAGAACTAGCTACCCATGTCCATTTCTCTAGTAGGATACGGTGCACAGGATTTCCGTCAGGAAGACCTGACGTTTAAGCTGCTCTTGTTAATCAGTAACTACAGAGCGTCTGAGCCTGCTCAAAAGAAAAAAAAACAAAACTCCCCATGGCTTTCAACTCCATACAGTGGCTGATGCTACGGAGTTATTGTTTGTTTGTTTGTTTGTTTTCTACATCCCTTTGTGAAAAAAAATTCCCCCCACTATCCAAGCTGAAATCTACTTGCAGAGACCATAATTAACTACAGGCTGCAGGTTGTAACTGAAGAACAAAGCTGGGTGGGTTTTCAGCACTCAGACATTTCCCAAGCCGTGCAGATGGCACAAGTAGACTGAACACAGGATCTCGTCCCCGTCATTACTTGCGAAACCTTCAGAGTCCTGCTCCGTGCGAATTCTTTTTTACAGATGATAATTCAGTGCAGGTTTCACAGCTAAACACTCCGCTCCAACTTCTGAATCATCCATACAAGGTCACGGTAGCAAGAACAGATAAAAGATGAGGTCTGTCACTTGAGACAGAATAGAAATTTGTTTAAAGCTGCTTCATTTATGAAGCAAACATGAACTGTTACCAGCCTAGAGAGGAAGAAAGAAGAGAGAGATTAAAATGTGTCTTTCTGCCTCCTTTATTTTTTCCCCAATAGCTAAATTCATTAAAAACACAGAATGGAAAAACCAAGTTAGTAATGTGTGTTCCACTTAGTCTCAAAGAACCGGGTTGGGGGGGCCTTTGTCATCAGCTGTGATGATTAGCCACTGTCTCCTTGGAAAGACATTATCTCAAATGATCTTATTGATGATCTGTTGTCTATTCCTTCTCATTAGAAAGTAAGCTTCATAAGACGAGACTTAGTTTCATTGTTGCAGCACAATTCTTAGAACAGGGCCTGGCAGGCAGTGTAATCTACATGCAGCAAGCATTTCTTGAACATGAGAATGGATAAATTTCATTTTTTATCTATTCATGAGAGCAAGAAAATGGAGCCAGCCTGCCCGTCCACTAGAGGTGGATGGATAATGAAATGTGCTACATATACACAACAGAATTTTAGTCAGCCATGAAGAAAAGGGAAATTAAGATAAATTGGCAGGAAAATGCTAGGATCTAGAATGTATAATGCTAAGTGAGGTGACCCAAACTCAGAAACAAAACCAAACATGTTCTCTTATGTGTCTTATGTACAGATCCTACCATGTATTGTGTATACACACACACACACACACACGAGTATAAATGTGGATAAAGCCTATCTTGTCTCTTATGTGTCTTACGTGCAGATCCTACCACATAATACACACACACACACACACACACACACACACACACACACACACACAGGAGTATATATGTGGATAAAGCCTATCTTGTCTCTTATGTGTCTTATGTGCAGATCCTACCACGTAATACACGCACACACATACACACACACACACACACACATGAGTGTAAATGTGGATTAAAGTCTAAGAATCTGCAAAGGAAACCAAGAGAAGATGAAAACAGGTGCTGAGGAAGGATAAGGTTTGGAGTGGAGAAGAGGACACAAAAGAGGTGTGAGAGAGGAAGAGATGATGGGCAGGGCAGGGGGTGGGGTTACAAGCTGAGCATATCCTACTTGAGTATACTACTTATTTCTTGATGTGCTGTAAAAATCCAAGGCATCATTATAAAAAAGTAGTAGGTTTCTTCAATAAAAGAACAAAAACAAAAAAAAAACAGTTGTAAACTACAGGAAGGTAGAAGAAATGAGACACACAAACAAATACACACAGAGCCATACTGAAACCCATTTTTTATGTAAGCTAATGAAAATAACATTTAAACTGGAAAAAAATCTAGGTGTGATAGCATGCACTTATAATCCCAGCACTACAGAGACAGATCCCTGAGGACTGCTGGTCAGCCAGCCCAGAGGTACTGGTAAGCTCCAAGCTGATAAAAGATGTCTCAAAAAACCAAGATGGATGATGGTACCCAGGGACTGACAAAGTTGTTCTCTTGTTTCAACATGTATATGTGCACATGAGCACACATGCACAAGGAGGAAAAAAAAAAGGAATGAATAAATTAGTATCCTTCAGCTTTCATGCCCTCAAAACACCATTTATCTTAGTCTGAGACAGGAGAGAGAGCAATCTATGCAACTTTGAAGCTCTGTAACACAGAGTGGTAGAGAGATGTTTGCAGCCCAAGATAGTGGTTTCTGCAAAGTGCAGAGAGGAGTCAGATGGGGTGGTCCAGGAGACATAACTGCAGCAGGTTAGAGACTACCAGCCTCATCCCTGAGTAGTTCCAGCATCCTGGCGGCTGAGCTAAGCTCTAAACAGTCACTTCTCTCAGCCAAGAAAACCAGAGCAACAAGCTCACACTTAGTATGTGTACTCCAAGGAAGAACAACTGAAATCCTGGCACCACATGCTGAGGAATTCATTTGGCCTCCGTATATCTTATTGTAACTTTGTGAAACACGAAAGCCATACTTTGTTTCAGTTTTTCCGTGCTGGTTTTCAACTGCTGACTGCTCAGATCTTCCGGTAATTTAGGTAAGCAAAACTAAGCCCATATCGATAAATGAGGAGAGGTTAAAAAAATTCAGAAATTGACGTTTTAAAAATAGAGCATGGTAAGACAAGCAGATCGGAACCACGGGAAGGGAGGAAGCTATGCATAATTTGAATTCTAGAGTTAATTACTCAGAGAAACAGGATTGGAAATCTGGTTTGGACTTTTGCTCTTGAGTCAGTAAAGCAAAGAAACGGAACTGAAGACCAACAGCATTTTTTTTTCGTAGAGCAAAGTTACATTTCTTTAGAATGATAGTTTTGTAACATATTCATGAAATAAACAGAAAGAGCGTTGTTATCCTATACAGTGAAGTGTCACTTAACGAGGGGGATACGTTCTTAGGAACAAGTCATTGTGTGATTTTGTTACACAAACAGTGTAAGTCTTCAAAACTAGGTTGGTTAACTCGGTACACAGTTAGGCTATTATACTGTATTGTATGATAATAACTACTGTGAGTGTGGTACCCAGGCTGAGAGATCAAGAGATGCTATATGCCTTCCTATGAAAATATAGAGGTTAAAATATTCTAAATCATCTAGTGTGCTACAGCTAGTTGTAGAGGCAAGGCTTCAACTCTGGACTCAGCTAACCTTTTCTAGTCTCTGGCTTTATAATGCAGGAGTGAAAGAAAGCTCGCCAACAGGACTTAAAAAATATCTAGTAAAGTGACCAGGGTCTCGATGACTACTTATCACTACTTATCTACCAATTCAAAGCCTGTGCCCTAAATGTCCAGGCTTAGTTTAGGCTTGTCCTACCAAGTCTCAGATCGATTTCTCCCACTGTAGCTCTGACCTACAGGAAGATTCAGGTTGTGTTCTGTTTTATCTTCTTTACAACTTTCTACTTATGTGTGTGTTTGTGTCTATATAAATTACAATGTGTAATAAATATAAATTGTAATGTACATATGTGTATATACACATTAAAATACGCTACATATTATAAGTTCAAAAACATTTAAAATTGTAAAATTGTGTGTGTGTATGTTTGAATATTTTTGAAATTATAATAATTTACTTTCTCCTACCATGGAATGATAACTGAAAGTAATTAAATGAATGCACAAATACCTGTTACTTCCCATCAGGCAGCCTGAGCCTTCTCTTTGAGGTAACTGGATTTTCCTCAAGGTCTCAAGTAAGATTCTGGGTAGATGACTTTCAAATTCCAGTCTACCATTCCAGCCCCAAGTGATCTCTCTCTCTACTTTGATGACACACATGTAGTAACTTCTCGGAACTATCAATATTTATCAACAGTTCCCTCTCTTGACTCCAGATATCTCATTTCTTCCTTTCCCAATTTCCCAATCATCTCTGAGACTCATGAAGCTGCACAGTCTACCAGTAAAGACTGACTGGTTCTTCTTGGCAATGCCTCCAAAGTGGTCCATCTTTTTAGTTGCCATGGCCTTCATCCTGGTTCTCATCCCCTCCCATCTGAATGGAACACAATTCTCCTGGGTATAATCTCTACCTCCAGTTCAAACCTCTATCCCACTGGTCACACCAGTATCTGATGACTTTTCCTAAGTTTCTGCTTTGATGGGATAATTAGTATGTTTCTAGCCCCTCAAAACAGCTTTTACATTACTTAATAGGACATAAACTATAACTTCTAGAATTCAAACGTGCTTTCAAACTGATATCCAGTCTTTCCTCTTGGTACCGACCCTGTGCACTGGAGAGTTTTATGTTAACTTGGCACAGGCTAAAGTCATCTGAGAGGGGGAACCTCAACTAAAAAAAAAAAAAAAAAAAAAAAAAAGCCTCAGGCTGTAGATAAGCTTGTAAAACATTTTCTTAATTAGTAGTTGATGGAGGAGGACCTTAATCCACTGTGGCTGGTGCCATCCCTGGGTTGGTGGTCCTGAGTTAAATTAAAAAAAAAAAAAGCTGTCTGAGCAAGCCATGAGGAGCAAGCCAGTAAGCAGCACCCTTCCATGATCTCTGCATCTGGTCCTGCCTCCAGGTTCCTGCCCTGTTTGAGTTCCTGCCCCAACTTCCTTTGATGATCAACAGTAATATGGAAGTAAAAGCCAAATAAACCCTTTCCTCCCCAACTTGCATTTTAGTCAGGGTGTTTCGTCACAGCAACTGTAACTCTAAGACACCTTGCGTGTGTGTGATTGTCACTGGAGTCAAGGTATACAACTTCTGTGGGTTTGTAGCACCGTTTGTACCCTGAGACCTTCCTCTGTTCATGCCATGTGCAGTATCCACTTTAACCCTTTCTATTGCTAAAAAAAAAAAAAACCTATCACCCACCATTTGATGTATCTCATGTAAATATTACCTCTCTCAATGATAGAACCAAGCCTTTCTCCTATTGCTAGTGACTGCTCCACCCTGTCAAACAGAGTTTGCATGTGGGTGGACCCAGTGCAACCCTATGGGATGCTGTCCACATCAATATCCTGGGCTGTAACAAATTCAGATCTTCTAGATGCAGCAGTCTCACCTCTAAGTTCTCACTGTGTAGCCTTTGTAAAGTCCGTTAGTTATTTCTGAGTTTTGTAAATGTATTATGTAGTAATTCCTTTTGTGGGCCATAATTACAATGAGGACACAACTGTGCGAGGCTGTCTTGCACACACCAATACCCCTTTTACTGCATGTTGAGGTAACACTGCGAGAAGAATAAACAATACCGTCTCCCTATAACAAAAGCGAAGCTTTTAATGTAAGTTATCTCCACTTTCTCTTTCTCTTTTAATCTGTGTTGCATACAACCCACTTCATGAGTTCTCATAACCTTCTGTCTACATAATATCATCTAGGCGACAAAGTCAGTTTTTAATGTAATATAAATATCTTCATGTTTCATGTCCACAAACGCAACTTCAGCATTATTTTTTTAAAGAAGGAAACATCTCTTGTTTCTAGCTCATCATTTAATTCTCTCTTGCACTATTTCCTTATTCTTAAAAGATGATTCTTCTTTTTGTCTTCCAATTGTATTTCCCTTGGCGAATTACCTATGGAATGTTCACTCTTCAACTTGGTTAAATTTACTTAAGCCACACTGATTCATTCATTCAACAAACGTTCATCTAGAGTCCATTTCATACGTGCAGTGAGCTGAGTGACGGGGGTAAGGTCCAAACCAGACAGACCCAGCTCCTGCCCTTGCATGTTCTGAGACTAGGTGAAGTATTCATACATCATTTGAATATGTTTGCTCTAAAACGTCATTGATCCTTTTCCTCCTAAGCAAGTGGCTTGGGTTCCCCATGATAATCCAAATGTCACGGGGCGAACACCATCATCAAAACTGCAGGATCGTTGAAACTTGATCCCCAAACCAAACAAGAGCAGATATCATCGGAACTTTTAAGGTGCACTTAACCATGTAAGGTGCGACATGTAAATGACTGGCATAAAGGAACTGAATTTGCAGATCCAGGAAAAGCTGGGGCTTGTGCTGGGGCTGAAAGGCAGAGAACGGGGTTTCTAAAATGAACAATAATTTCAGCTCAGAGAATACCGTTTTAGAAAAGAACTCAATTTGCCTATATCGTTAGATGGGGCTGGGGGCTGGGATGAACCTAGAGAAGCCAGGATGGAAGCAGATAAGAGAATCATAGCCTTGCTGCACGTGGCAGTCACGGGGATGGCTGAAGGCAAAAGTCAAATGTAGGTGGAGCAATTATTATCTCATGGTAAGTCCAGCTGTTAAAAATGGTCTCTCGTGCCAATCAAAGGGAAGTTATTAGAGCAAGAGGCAGGGACTATGACCCAGGTACCCCAGGGAAGACTCAGTCTAGAGATAATTTTGGAATCTGGGACAGGGTGACAGCTGAAAGGACAGAGACTTATAGGGAAAGGAGAGACAGTTCAGTAGACACTCTTATCAGAAATAAGGTGTGCAGGAAGAACCGAGGCTTCAGGGAGAGGAGCAAGCATTGCTATCCCCTGTGGAAAATGCAGGCAAGGGTCAGCCATCGTTAGTGACCAGGTGCTAGAGGTAAAAGGAAGTCAAAGGTTGAGCTGATAGTGCCTCAAAGTGATACCTTTCCAGGTGTCCCAGGTGCCTGAGAGCTCAGAAAGGAGATGGCGTGAACGATAACAAGCATCTGCCTGCTCCAAACCATTCGGAGTGATAAGCATCTACCGGCTCCAACGGTCCCATAGTCACCTTTCTTGCACAGTATACCCCACCCTAAATATCTGTTCTTGGTTTATATACTCAGTACACTCTGGACTGGGGTAGGGCTTATTTATGAGGAGCCCTGCACCAAGTGGCCTTTTACCTTGAAAGTTTTATTCTGGCTATAAGACACTGACTATTTTTTTAAGTGGTGGGAAAATACTTTGTTTCGTTTTGCTTTTCCACTTATTAAGTATCTAGTAAATGGATCACTGTCATTTGATAGTGGCCATATCTAATCAAAATTGGTTGTGTTCATTGTTTATTTATTTTTTTATTCCTAACTTGCTGTTTTCTCTTACTCCAAGTTAACAATAAGTGATTAATATTTCACGCATCTCCTACCTAAAATGAATCTACTAATATGGACCAACACTGCCCACCTTTCAAAATCTGAGATTTGCCAGTCAGAGGCCTATAGTTCAACTGTGTAATGGCTTCCGCTACCATTTAGCGAACAGTCCTATCAAGGACATAAAAATACAGTTTGTTTCTAAATGTTGGCCTTTCAGATTTTCTATGGCTCTAGCAAGTTCTTGCAGCTCGATTTCCAACAACTTACCACTGTGCGAAGGTAACAATGTTGATACATCCACAATTACACCTCTTGAAACTCTCTCTCTTTCTGTTGCAACATACTGAAAAACAACAAGAGAAATCCTGTTTGCTTCTGGACAGACTCTAAAGCACACCAAGAGCCAGGCATTCTAAGAGGCTATTCTAGAGATGCAGCAAATAGAGTAGCAAAAGATTGCTGGGGTTGTGGGGCTGGGGATGACTTATACACCAAAGCTTATCTTCAAGCCCATCCTAGGGGGAAGAAAGATGATTTTTTGTTGATGTTATCTGCTGACAAACTCTTAAAAAATTACACTGAAAATGCTTATAGGCCGTGTGTATGTGTGTACATGTGTGTGCATGTGTGTGTGCATGTACATGCACATGCTCATGGGGCACATGTGCACACGTGTTTGTGTGTGTGTGTGCGTGTGTATGTGTGCACGAGTACATGCGCTGATGGACATTATAAGAGAAAATACTATGCTGAAAATTAAAATCGGAGGTACAAAACAAACTTCTGGAGGGAATGGTGAAAGAGGCATCATGGTGAGTTACAGTAGGATGGAAAATATCTTAAAATAATGGTTTTATTTAGCTTTAGGTAAAATGCTAAATTCATTGGAGACAACTATGAGATATGAAAAGCAGAATGTAGGGAAAAGTTATATCAAAGGCTGCAAGTTTGGAAAGCCACGTATAGTGTTGTGGACAGGAAGTAGAACCACATACAGAGATTTAAGAAATAACATGACAGAGAATGTCTTTACAAGAGCTGAAGACAAAAAGAGTGTGATCGTGGCAACTCAGCCAACAGCCTACACATAATACGACACCAGACACAGGTGAAAGAGGTCATCTCCAAAAGACGTAAGGACACTAGAAAAGAGAACAGAGGCAAATGTGCCTTCCCAGACATTATTCCCAGGTAAAGATGGAGGACTGAAGACACAGTGGGAGGCCAGAAATCGCACCAGATCTAGAACACACTGAATGGGAGGTGTGGCCCATCTCTGAACACCTCCCTAAAGATGTCAGAATCGTGCATGTGCACAGCATGAGAAAGGACAACACCAAGCTTATGTGAGCACACAGGAGAACAAAATACCTTATCTCATTATCCTCTTCATTAATCTGTATATTTTCAACTGCCCTTGTAAGACTTGACTGTTTCTTCTGGAAAAACAAAAACAGTGACACCTATTGTAGAAACACCAGTGGCTGCTGCATTTCTTGAGGTCAGTGGTCTGCACTGTTATCATTAAAGACAACTGAACTGCCATCAAGGGTGCTTTTACTTTATCAATCAAAATATTTGTGTGTGTGTGTGTGTGTGTGTGTGTGTGTGTGTGTGCAATGAAAGCATGGTCTAGTTCAGCATTCGTGGGCTGTTCTATAAATAGCTATCACATTAAAAATGCACTTCTTTAATGCTGAGTCATAATGATTTGGCACATTCTGAATTTTAGACAGACCAGTAAGACCACAAAAGAGAGGGCATTCCAAAGAGCTGCCACAGAAAGGCACATCTGTTTGGCTGTTAAGCACAGCATATGAGTCTCAATATATATTTCTTTCTTTTTGTATTTAATTCAGACCGTTAAACAGGGCCCCACCCCTTAAGTGTGCCTTCTCTGGAATAGAGGACACACCTCCAATGCCCAATGGTGGAAACTTTACTAACGTTTGAATGTTTTGAGGCCTTATGTTATAGTAAGAATGATTGTTTCTTCAATAGAACCATTTCTTGGAAAAGAGAAGTGTCATATATATGAAAAACAAGCATATAAAGTTGATGAGGGGGTAGCAAGAATAGCAATGCTCACCTTCCAGTATAAGGCTCCAAAAGCAAAGCCAATTACAAGCGAAATGAGAGCTGGTAATGCCATGGCTGTCCATTGTAGGCCTGAGTCTTCAGGGGACTTTGCGGCTTTCCCTGCAATTAAAAGGACACAGTGGTAAATAACTCGGCTATGTTCTAGAGGGCTGCCTGTTAGATTGTGGCTACGGTGAAAGGATCCCGTAATGACGTGTACAACCTTTTACAGTTTTCAGAAAAAGCAGGGTTTTCTGTTCAATTTTCATTTTGCAAGCAGTATAAAACCATATAATCTCTAAAAGACAAAGGTGTTTTAAAAAAAAGAAAAAGAAAAAGAAAAAAAGAAATCCAACAGGTAGGAAGAGACTTGACACAGTTAAGAGTCATGCATGTTTGGAATCCAGCCTTGATATATTCCTGAGCAGAAAGGATTTCTACCATCATGCAATTCTTTCTTCTCTAATCGATTATCTTAATATTGTTTAGCCTTCCTGCTCTTAGCATTCTGAGCCCCAATTTAAGAACCTTCAGATCCTACACCCATTCAGCTAGGGTTAGTCTGTTGCAGACAGCAAATCATAAAATGCATCTTGCAAACACAGCACTTTAAGCAGCCTTAAAATTGTGGATCTTTGCTCATTCACACCCTCAGTACACACAGTGGAGGAGGACTTTTTTTTTTCTTTTCATTTTATGTTGGAAAGTTTGAAACTACTCGGAAGAATGACTGAAGCCACCAGTGTCACCCTGCACGAAATAACCCTTTAGTGACAAAAAAAAAAAAAAAAAGACTTTGACTGATTTTCCTACAGGACTCATTTACAAAGAACTGTCTAGCTTTTTGGAAACATTGGAGCATTTGCTAGCCTGAAATTCCCTTTCAAAGAGATTGTACATTTCCAACAACGACAGGACACAAATCAACACAGGATCAAGGTAGAGTGTAGAGTGACTGCTTTTAGGTAACCTTACAATAAGAATTTGGTCACAAGGTGAGCCTACAATTACTTAGCAGCTAACATCCCTCCAAGTGATTGCTAGAAAGGAACAGATCCACTGTGTATGTGCACCCCATGTTGATAAAGGGGAAAAATTCTAAAGTTTATCCTAGAAGGTAAGAAATAAATCGTATCTACTATAGTGAGGACAGGAATCTGCTATTCCCCCCAGTACATGTGGATGCCAAGGAGAGAATTTCCTAGTTCTGTATTTCCTGTCTTCCCCAAATCATGTTTGTTTGTGAGCCCGTGTGCATGCGTGTGTTAGAGAGAATGCTTAGGAATGGGTGCTTATGAGATGCAGGAATTGTGTGGGGAGTTGTCTGAAATCGTGTCATCCACTTACATAACAACAAACTGCTTCCTCAAGACAGAATGAACAGTTCTCTGGCCTCCCCCATCATACAGTCACAGGACAGACATGTTTTAGGCATCCCAAATTGGGAATCAATATTCATTTATCTCTCCAAAGCAAATAGCTCCCCTAGTCGCAAAGACATGGAGAATAACCGAAGGAGTGATGGACATCACAAGGGATTTCTACCACTTTAGGAATTTCAATGTCTACAAATAAATAAGTTGGCAGTCTGTGTTTGTTATTTCCTTTGAAGGACAACCTGCTGTGGCCATCATTGTTTACTGGGACTGTTAATGCTGGAACTATTAGTCAACACAAGTCACACATTCTAAAATACAGCAACATTCCTTCTGTAGGAAGGGAAGAGAGCAGGACTCTAAAGACAAGGAGAAGAAAAGGCCAGGGTAATCATCTTTCTCCAGAGCTCACTGCTGCTTCTATTACTTCATGCTTGGAAACCTGCCCTCAGTTCTTCCAGGCATACTAATAATGCTTAAGAGAGAGAGGACAGCTTTATCAAAAAAGGCTTTCTCACATATCTCTGGGGAGGACTTCAGCACCTCTACCAGGACTCTCCACCACAACTGGATGCCTCAGAGCCCACTCGAAGGGTATTTGAACCAAAGCCCATGCACATTACAGAACTCCTCTGCTTTATACAGCGATTGTCTGCCAAGAGCTTGTGGGAAAGAGAGCGGATCTGGACAGACTCTGAGTCATCCTTATTACTAAAACCTGTCCTTGGGTGAAATAGCTTACAAGTAATGGTTGTTACAAGTAATAGTAATGAACATCTTGAAAACATCAGAACACAGAAAACGATGCTCATCTTGCTGAGTTCTTTTTTAGGGCGTTAGCCTGCTTAAGAACTCCATGACAATGCCTCTCCCGGCACTTAGGAAACAGGCAACTGGTTCAGATCCCAAACACTTCAGTTACTAGCCCATCATCTTATTGTCCAACAGTGTCCAGTTGTCTTCATAGTTGATGGTTAACTCTTAATAGCCATTAAGTATGGCCCCCGTGAACATGCATACTAACTCTTGTAAATTCACAGAAGTCCCGTGAAAAGGGGATAATAACACACCAATTGACTAAGGATTTACAAAGCTTAAGCAAGTAGCCCATCATGCTATTTATGTGTCCAGGTGTTCTGACGTACAACAGGTCTCTAGAAAAATATGAAAAACATGTTCCATACTCTTTCAATACTGTTTAAAAGGATCTCAAACTTGAGTGTTTTGAGAATACAGAATGCTACTATTTACTCTGTAAGTATAATCTCATTCATATAAATAGTAGGCCTGTATATTATTCCATCTCTCCCCTTTAGATAGTCACACGGTCCTCTGATTATCACCACTGAAAGACTTATCCTAACAAACTATGATGCTTTTTCTCAAGGTCTCCTGACTACTCTTCCCCAGTTTAATTTTCGTTATGCTATGAGAAAAAATACATAGAGCAACCCCTATGATGATTCTTATTCAGTATCACGTTCCTTGATAATGAATGTGAGTGCCACAGTAGATAGCTTTATGCATCGCTATCTAACTTATGAGTGACATTATACCTAGCCAAGCTGTGACACGTAAGACCTGTGCTTTACAAATGAAAGAAGAAAGAGAAAAATAAATGAGGATGAAGGAGGAAAGGAAAACTATGAAAGGATATCCACCTTGCAAAATAAATTAATAAGTAAAGGATTAAATAGTATTGAATTTTACATTCAGGTTTTCTTGAAGTTGGTAATTAGGACATTCTTTTGCTTCTAATCTTGATGGTGGTAGCCTTTTCAAACTACATAATTATAATTCACAACACATTATATGAAACACCTATTTTCACAAATTAGTTCACAAAAAGTACAAATGTGTAATTGCGAAATAGAAAGAAATATACAAACTGAGACCCATTAGCAATTTAATTTCCAGCATTTGACTTCTCTAGTCTGGGGAGACAGAACTCCCTTCACTAAGGCTCACTGCTCTCTCCAGAGATGGACGTTCAGGGTTGCTGAGTTGGGTAAGTTTGAGTAGTCATACTGGTAGAAATGAACTATGTTAATAAGAAGCATCACAAACCTTTTGATGAGTCTTTATTAATCTACTAGACAAATAATAATCTATACATGCCCAGAGAGACACATAACAAAGTCTGGCAAGAACACAACTCTTATCAAGCAGACACCCTGATAAAGTCTCACGGCAAAGCAAAAAGTCTGCTGCACAGATTGTTCAATAGTCATAGTACTCTAGAAACAGCACAGAAATCCCAAACCTTAACAATGAAGTTACCACCCGCCCGACCCCAGTCACCTGCCCCTGTGTCCTTGTCCCTAACCAAGTTTTAAAACAAGCCTGGAAAAGAAGATGACATTTATCTACCAGTAAATGAACCTCTCACCAAATGAAACTCAACTGCTTCTAAAAGAATGCTACAAAATTCAGAAGCCATAGAACAATATAACAGCCAGGATGTGCAGCATATGTTAAAAAAAAATTACTGATTGTTTAGAGAAATATCTGACCCCAACCATGAAGACACAAACAAACAAAAAAAAAAGATATAAATGCTAAGATGGCATGCATGTTCAAATTAGATGGTAAGAATGTCGGACAAAAGAAAATATGTCTTAGTATGAAGATAGAGCATCTCTGTGCAAAAATACCAAAAAAAAAAAAAGCAGATGGAAAATTTAAAACAAAAACAAGAAGTTCAGACGTGGTAGAAGGAAATCTTAGTGAACCATAAAACTGAGGACTGAAAATCATACATTGAGACCAACAATGATAATGAGGTTTCAGAAAATTAATACACGTCATCCCGGAACTTGGGAAGTGGAGGCAGGGGATCAGAATGTGTGACCAGACTAGCTACACAGCGAGTTTGAAGTCTAGCCTAAAAGATGAAATAAAAACAGAATTCAACTTTTGTGACACCGAACACAATACCAATCTGACCAAATTATGTGTGACTGGTTTTCTCAGAAGAAGAGCAAGAGAACATAGAAGAAATAGTTTCAAATACTACTGCCAAACTTCCCATAGCTTTGGGATTGGAACTTATATGTTCAAGAAACTAGACAAAAACCAAGAAAAATGAATACAAAGAAAATCACTTGTTATTGACATTTTTCACATTTCTAAAAACAAACAAACAAACAGCATAAAGTGAAATCTGTTCAGTATAGAGTACATGGAGAGAAAAAAAAATAGAAGTGGTGATTTTTGTGTTTCAGATACAATATTTTTGGAAGAAAATGCTATGGTGTCTTCAAAGGAATAAAAGAAGGTTTTATTAACCCAGAATGTGCTATGTAGTAAAAAATACCTCTCCGTGCAGCAGATAGTATAGACATTTCTCAAAGAAAAGAAAAAAGATTTGTTGCCAATAGATCTGTATTACAGGGAACTCTAAAGGGGTTCTACATCCTGAAACGAGATTAGGAGGGTGGACTGAGGAAAGAATTGAAGGTATGAAAATAACCTAAACGTGACATATATTTTCCTACTTGAAAGGGTATACAGTTGCTTCAAACAACTGTTTGAAAGCTAAATATGGGAGTTTATGGCTTAAGAGTATGACATTTATAAACACAATAGATTGGTTCAGGGAAGGTCCCTGTTTCTCTTGAAGGCCACCAGCCAATCCACCAATATTAACTCTAAGAAAAACGTTACAAGTGTAAATGTACATTTCAGTTCCTAGCGTCACTATAAATAACACAAAGAGATACTGAAGATAAAATAGAGAGGAAATGGGTCTCGCAGAAGAACGGAGCTCGAATGAAGAAACAGAGGACAAAAACTGGAACCAGAAAGCAAGTGGAAAAAGCAACTTGATCCAAGGTCAGCCACAATGGCAAGAAATATGAAGATCTGAAATACCCAAGACAGCTAGCTGGGCATGATACCACATGCCTGTAATCCCAGCCCTTCAGTGGCTGAGGCAGGCTGATTGCAAATCTGAGGCCAGCCTAGTTACATATTCAGAATTTGTTTATGAAAAACAAGAAAGAACAAAACAATGCACCTATGCCTACCTTTGAAAAACAATAGAAAGGCAATATACAAAAATGCATGTGACTCAGTTAACAGCTGTACAAAGGCATTTTTTTTCCCCTTTAAGGAAAGAAATTAGCTTAAAGTCAACAATGTCATTTTTCCAACTTAAAAATCTGGGACAGGTTGGGACAGTTAAAAGCAAAATATGGAGGATGAAAATAGTAAATTTTAATATCAAGAAAACAGGAACAGAGCATCTGAGATGCTAAAACTGGCTCCTTTGAAAAGATCAGTAGACAAAAGAAGAGATGACACATGCATACCAGGCCCAGTTTCTTTGTGAAATTTGTCAAATCTGATGTGTTATATGAATGCGATTCACAATTTTCGGTTTCAGAAGACTGTCCTGAAAATATTGGACTTTGTAGACTGCCAGCCAGTGAGTTCAGGCAGTATCCTTCCATTAGATGTATTAAATGTCTACATTGTGAAATATATAGATATTTTTAGAGGGAAAAAAAAGACTATATGTAGCTTTATTTTAGATCCAGGTTAAGTTTTGATAGAAAAACATTCTAAAGCATGTACTTCAGAGAGTTTTCTTTTAAAGACCAAATAAGCTATTATGAAACTGTAAAAAACAAAATATACACAGTATATTCAATAATCCTTATAATGATCATTGCACAGATTTGAAAATAAGACAGTACTCCAGGAACGTGGGTTCTTGGGCAAAGAGGACAGAAATTTTAGGGAAAGACATCCACTCTTCTCCAACATACATTCTTAGGTAATAGAATAGCGTCAGCAAATTTCCAAACATGCACTAGTAAATACGGAGACAAAAAAACTGCAAATATCCTTGAAATTACAGAGAGTTAGCACATGCACTTGAAATTTTAAAACTCCATTTTGATCAGGGACATTCTCCACAAAGTTTATTTTAAGCCTACAATGATTCAAAAGAAGGCCTCTGTCATTTTTTTTTTCAATTAATTTCATGCCTTATTTAAAATAACCTTAGCAGAAAGCTTATTGCCCTAATTCCTTCATGGTCCTCTTAACCTCTAGGGAGATCCAATTCTCCAAACCAGATATTTAATTGTCAGGAAGACCATACAAGGAATAACAGTAACAGAACAGTAGTATTAGTAATAATTTATAAACTTTGTTTAAGTCCATGCAACACTCCTATACAGGATACTTGGAGCCATGCATGCAGTAAATCAGATACGTGTACTTACTATTACTGCTACTGCTGTCATTCCTAAGGGAGCTGGCTGCAACAGGGGGTAACATAAATGGTTTTGTGACACTGACTCTGGAATCTAAATAGAAAGCAATAATGTGTCAGTGTTACATGGTGATTTTAATATGAATCACAGAGTCCCCCAAAGGCGAAGTGCAGTATCTTGGTAAGGGCTGGGTCTGCCTCCCAAGTCTAGATTATGCGGTCCCTATTTATTTGATACTCAGTTCAGTTGCTCAGTTGTGTCAAAAGATGCACCATAGTCGTCTTGTAGAGTGACGGCTTATTGCATGCGTAAAGCATGCTTAGAAACGTGAATAGTGAAGAGCTATTGGTAACCCGTCATAGTTTTAAAAGAAAGCAATGAAGTTAGTTCCATCATATGGACCCAGCTCAGGGAGAGGGGATGCAGAAGGAACTGGTGAGGCTCAGAACTCAAATCTCAGAGTTAGACCCTTAAGAAAAAGATATGAGAAGTGAACATTAGGAATGCTGGGGGTGAAGAATAATATCATTCTACTCTCCTAGCAAATATCAGAGTAAGAAAACGTGTGAGCCACCATCATGTGTTGTTAACTCACACAATTCTTCAATTTAAGAAATGTTGAGTATCGTTGTCTTGGAAAAGGACAAATCTTTCATGCTAGATGATAACCATTGGTAGTCATTGATATTTGCTTTCTTTTTTAAATCAGAAACACGCGTTCGTTCTATAGCAACACATTCTGTTCATTCAGCAGTAGAGGCTTAGAAAAAGTTCTAGCTTTACCATGTACATTTAAACAGGAAATGCTTAAACACCTTACCTTTCTCAGGACCTAATGTTGAAGAGAGCACACAATCACTAGTGTCGGATGCCACCATGAAGTCCTTGAAGGCATCAATGGATCTATTGAAAATACTAAAGAATTCTTCAGGAGTAAAGTGTCTAGCTTCTGGCCTCTTTGGAGATTCTTTTACATTCTAGACAAAGAAATAAATAAGCAAACAAAAAAACAAATAAGAAAGATTCTAGTTTTGAAATAACTCATGGACTTGACATCTGCATAATGGACTATTGACTATATCCTCAGTGATTCAAGTATTTGAACTCTACAGGCCAACAGGTTTCGATGAACTATTCTAATAGACACTACTCAAAATGGTTACTGAGAATAGGATGGTATCGGGTCAATCTCAGACTCAACTCATGACCAAAGCAACTAGGGGACAATCAACAAAACAGAAGAAACAATGGACAATGGGACAAAATAAGGTTGTGGCAACAGGAGAATGACTCCAAAAAAACAATTAAGAATTTTAAAACTGCTTATTCCAGTATGAGTGTTAGCTTTTAAGAGGCACTCCTCTATAACAGATGTTCCAAGAATTTACATCTGGGCATACTAAATACAGACAAGAATAGAGATTGATGGGAACTCCTTCAATTTTTTAAATTTTTTAGTTATGTGTTCAGATGCGTTGAGGTGGCAGAGGTGGCATGTACCTATTTGAGAGCAGATGCGGATGGAGTCCAAAAGAGGGTATCATGTCCTCTGGAGCTGGAGTTACAGACGGATGTGAGTTGCTCATCATGAGTTCTAAAAACTAAACTTGGGTCTTGGCCTGAACAGTAAGTGTTCTTAACTGCTGAGACATTTTTGCAGCCCCATGGAAAACTCGTATACACTGGTCTAGAATTTCTACTCACAGGTAAAGACCTTAGTGAAACTTTCCTGCACACATATCATAAGACAGTAAAATTTTTACCAGCAGTATTTGTAACCCTTACATCAATCAATCAATGGATAATCAATAATAATGGAATTCTATAAACAGCAAAAACAACTAATATATGTATAAACACGAGCATATCTTATAAACAATACAACATGACAGAAACACAACATAAAGAAAGGAATAGTATGATTAACTTATATAAAATTTAAACATCCAAATAATAGGTCTATATTAGGGCTATAACATAAATAATACATTTTATTAATAGCACACGTCTGTGATTTCTAGGGATCTAGTAAAAATGCCATGTCTAGCAAATGTACATTCTTTATTATTTGTAATGCTTTAACCAACACTGCCACTTATTAAACACAACTCATCTTTAAATCCCCAATACATATGTTATTTCCTTTGTGATAACCTTCTGATGTACCTGATCTTTTATAATTCCTACTTGCTGTAAATGAAATGACGTTCTGTCTGAGGTAGTAGTATGATGCGCATACTACTATGTACAAGACAATGCTAACGCACATTGTGGATTCCAAGGTATATTCTAACTTCAGAAAGCAGAAACTGAAACAATGGAAATGATCAAGTGTCCTGAAGAGATTATTAATATGGCAGGAATGCTGCGAAAAGGTAGCACTAAGCTAGCTGACCCCTCTAACCAATTAGTTCAGTGGTTTTCAACCTTCCTAATGCTGTGTGACTCTTTAATACAATTCTTCATGCTGTGGTGACCCTCAACCATAAGTTACTTTCATTGCTACTTCATAACTGTATTTTGATACTGTTAGGAAATATAGTGTAAATATCTGATATGCATGATAGCTTAACTGAGACACCCCCCACCCCGTGAAAGGGCCATTTGATTCCCATAAGGGGGTTGAAAACCTCTGAATTAGATACTCCAAGGTCTAGTCTATTATAGAGACAGTACCACAAATAACAATATCAGGAGTGTCTATACTTATTTTTGCCTGACCTGGCATTAAAGATTCTCTACTGTTGATTCTTTGGAAAGGGATCGGGCCACTGTTCCCATTTAGACATAAAGTACAGTGAAGTTAAGGCATGCAAAGCTGAACAATGTAGACTTAGGCTTTGAACCTCTTACTGTTCATTCCTTGAGTTCTGGGATATGTGGCTATTCCATAGGCTCAGAAACCAAACTAGAGTCATGTATAGGGTCATGTGTTGGGGCATTATAGATAATGGGGCAAATAGTCTGAGTCAGTTCTCCAAGAGAAACATTTGCTTTCAACACAGTTATAACTTTCTTTTATTAATTTATTCGCTTTACATCCTGATTGCAGACCCCCTCTTCCCAGTATCCCTTCTCACAGTTCCTTCCCCTACCTTCTCTCCCCTTCTCCTGTGAGTTACTGTCCAACCCTGGTACATCAAATCACTGCAGGACTAGGCACATTCTCTCCCACTGAGGCCAGACAAGGCAGCCCAGTCAGGGGAACAGGATCCACAGGCAGGCAACAGAGTCAGAGACAGTCCTTGCTTCAGTTGTTGGGGGGCCCACGTGAAGATCAAGCTACATATATACTACATATGTGCAGGGGACCTAGGTCAACCCCATGTATACTCTTTGGCTAGTAGTTTAATCTCTGAGAGCTGCCAAGGGTCCAGGCTAGTTGACTCTATTGGTCTTCTTTTTTTTTTTCTTTTGTTTTTGTTTTTGTTTTTGTTTTTGTTTTTCGAGACAGGGTTTCTCTGTATAGCCCTGGCTGTCCTGGAACTCACTCTGTAGACCAGGCTGGTCTCGAACTCAGAAATCCTCCTGTCTCTGCCTCCCAAGTGCTGGGATTAAAGACATGAGCCACCACTGCCCGGCTATTGGTGTTCTTGAATACACTTATAACTTGCTAGGCTAGGATGATAATATGAACTTCACTGAAATATGAAACAAAAATTAAGGTACAAGCAAAGTTGTCTTTTAAGATTACAGTGTAAAGATACTATATTTTCACCTTAGGTGGCAATATTTAGGTCCATTTTAGTATTGCAGTAAAACTACAATAGACTCTCCTTAAACTATCCTTCAATTAAAAGTTTATAGTTTAAAATAAAATAAAATCAGGAGGCTTTCATCTCCCCAATACCATTGCTTAAGAAAGGTCTTGAAGAATTCTAAGAACAAATAATTCTGATGAATACCAAGTTACCTTAGGTGCGTTTTCTTCCATACATTCCACGAGATCATCCACTATTTTCCCAAGTTTGTCTATGATGGAGTAATTACTCAAGCCTTCAGAAATATTTGAAAACTTGTCCAGAAGAGTAGTCAAGCTGACTGATAATTGTATTACCATATCTCGTAGCCAACAGTGACTAGGCTGGAAGAAATTCAGAGAGAGGACAAAGCATCTATTATAAGTGTGGCAGATTCAGGGGGCTCTTCAAATCTGTCAGCAGTTTAGTCACTGACTCCAGGACAAAGAATTTCCTCAGAACACAGGAGGTCAATTCATGTCTTGCTCAAGACAGACTTAACAGTTCAAAATAAACAAATGTGTAGAGATCAGAGGATAAATGATTTTTGTCCTTCCATGGAAGAAAATTAAACCACCCTTGTATACCTTACCTTCTCTTCCTTGGTCAATTGAAAGCCAATTCTTACAACCTGACCCCTCCCTTCACCCACACAGACATACAAAGTTCACGTAGTAATGGACTTTAATTCTATGGAAGACTACTTATGGCTTAGTCACTGCATTTTCAAAAGAACATTAAATACAGACAGGATTACAAAAAAAAAAAAAGTTACTAGGAAAGGGAGTCTTTGTGCTGAAGGAACTCCCAGTTCAAAACCAATTAACCTAAAAGTCTTGATAGATTCCAAGGCTTCTCAATAGATAGATAGATTCACGTGGGCAGGGATGCGATTTGAGACCTGAATAGAGGAACTTGAGTGGCAGTACCAGCTGTGTCATCCGTGGGAGTGAGTGCAAAAGGAAAGTGTATTTCTTGTTCAAAATTATCATTCGACAATTTGCCCAAGAACTATTTCAAATTTCAAGGTTGTGATAGCAGAACAGTAATTCAAGCATGGTGAGGGGGGGAGCTCCCGTAGCCAGTCCTGCCCACTTAGATAGATATTGGAAGCTAGCATCAATGCCTAACTGCACTGACATCTCACTGAGAGACACCAAGCAAACAACATAAACTCAGAATCACACGTCACACGTGTAGAGCATGAAAATGACGGAGATGGTGTGGATAGGTGGGACACAGGTTGCAGGAGATCAGCATTTTTAAACAGCCTTATTTTTCTGTGGTTCCTCTCTAGACCATTCCAGAGCATTTCAGGGCAGTTACAGCTATACAGCTTTTCAAGGATAATAGATTCTATATGCATTATGATCTTAAACTCTGTTTTTATGTGATCAATATTCTTGCCTATCTGCTCGGATCTTCTGACACAATTAAATTTCCGAGCTTTGAATTGAGCCACTCCTTTTATCCTGTGGTTTTTCCTATAAAAATGTGCTCTTTCTCTCTTCTCTCTTTCTGTGCCTCACAAAGACCCCCAGTTACAATAGAAGACTGTGCTCACTCATTTTTTTTATTTTTAACTTGGAGAGTTCTATAACAGTTATCATCAGGTTGCATCTTACTTATAACCTTTCTCATTTTCATAAACTTCCGTCACGTCTGAGAGGTACGATTTCCCAAGGTTTATCCTTTCAAACACAGGGACAACTTGTCTTAATATTAAATTTTTGACATACATTCATTTATTCTTTTCTTTTCTTATTATCCCCATTCCCCACTCTGCTACACAAACAGGATCTTGCTATGAAGTCTAGACAAAGCTGCCACCTTGTGATCCTCCTGCCTCAGTCTCCCAAGTACTGGGATTAGAGAAACACCGAACCATACACTAGGCTTGCTATAAATTCTTGGATATCCTGCTAACAACTCACATATTGCTAAGCCCTTACTATTATATTTTATTCAAGTCATTAGCATTTATATCACAGATCTCCTGAAAAGTCATTGTATCTTTAACTTGGTCCTGTGCATTCATTAATTTGTTTATTCAGCTATGCTGCAGCTCTTTAAGACTCTTGGATCTATTCAGGAGAGAACCAAAGTAAACAGATCATATTCTGGGTTGGCCTCTTTTGACCTTCCTGCCTGGGGGAGGGGGCAAGGGGAACCAGTCTTGACTAGTCTTCTCAGGAAGTTTCTTTTCTCTCTTGCTTCTTTCTTTGTGATTAAATAGAGTCAATGATTTGCAAAGAGAACAAAACACAATTGAATAAGAATGTCATTTGTGAGAGGATCGGAGGTCTGCTTTTTAATTCTTCCAAGATTATGAAATAGATGATGAAGTGTTGTAAAAGTCACAAACAGAATCCTTTCTTCGCTGCCTGAAAATGGCATTACTACTGCTTATCTTTCAGAGGCCATTTAAAACTTAAATACTTTAAAACAAATATTAGCTTAAAACAGCCAATAGAAGCACAGAGCACAGAGGATAGAATGCTCTCTTTTGCTGAAGAAATGTGAAGGATCAAGAAAGTTGACAGTGATTCTGAATGTCAGAGACAACTTTTAGACTCTTTTTTCCCTAAGCCATATATACAGATATCAAAAGAAACAAATAAAGACTTCTTTGAATAGGAAAATTTGCCTGAGATTTCGTTGTTGTTTTTTTTTTTCTTGTTTTGTTTTTCTTGACTCCATACTTCCTATGATCTTATCTTCCTTCCTACTACCTCCTGACATCCATCCTCTGGGTTAACTGGAGCAGGCCTGTGTAAGACTCCAGGCACAGTATATCCTTCACACTCCTATATATTCGTCACGTGTATTAATCTAAAATGCCAATTGACACCATGACACCAAACCAACACCTCTGGACTATGAGCAGATCATGACCTCTAATGATTTAGCTATCAACTTCCTTACAGATTTTTTTTCTTTTTTAATGTACCATGAGGATCAACTACATGCTTTTACTACATGACCCAATAACAGATACGATGAAAGACAAAATGATTATCAGTAATCTACACACAAGTAGGAATACGGCTGCTTCGGGGGGGGGGGGCAATAATGAAAATCCCCCCCAGTGTGGGGGAATTCAAGGGTAGGGAGGTGGGAGTGGCCTGGTGGGTGGTGACATAGCCTCACAGAAGCAGGAGGAGGGGAGATGGGATAGGGGGCTTGG